ATATATATGTTACAACGTGGCATCCCATATTACAAAATCATCAACGAGCTCAGCAACAGGCGCAGGACCGTAATCCATTTCGATTTAATATGTTCCTGCGATCAGGACTTGTAATCTCGACTAAGTATATATTTATTTGGATGCTTTCAACTTGGATGCATTCATTTCTAATGCTTTCAATTTGTCTGCTCAGGAGAAGCTTGTATCGGTGATTCAGCTCGGCTACCCTTTGATATCGTGAAAATTAGAAGAGTATCAGACGTTTATTTCATGAGATTATTAGTTGGCAATAGGTATTAATAGATGTTAATAAATACCTTGCGTTTATTATCTAAAACCAGGGCTCATTACGTTAAGCCTAAACACGTTTTCAAAACATTGTGTTAGCGGTATACGGGATACGTTTTTGTACGTTACATGACCATGGCAATGAAAACTGCCAATATATTGGCATATGCGCCCAGCTATATCTTCCAAAATATGGGCGATTACCTGATATATAAATTGAACTTTTGCAGTTTTGGATCCGGACCATTGTATATTTGTCACTTGTTGATCTATTTAGAACAGTTCCTGATTTCCCTTCTTTTGAAGCTGTCGTTTTGGAAACACCAAAATGAATACGGTATGCGTAAAAAAATAAATCTTGTGTGCGTTAACGCAAAACGTAGTACGTTTGGGTGCCCTCCCGCGTCCAGGACTCCTCACTCCATGCTCCACTGCTCCACCACGTTCCTGGCCTCCACTCTCCTGAGTCCAGGCTTCAGTCTCCACTCCACTCCAGACTTCAGTCTCCACTCCACTCCAGACTTCAGTCTCCACTCCACTCTCCAGTCTCCACTCGCCAGCACTGTCCACTGTCCAGACGTCCAGTCTGCCAGAGGCCAAACTCCAGGAGTCCAAAATCCAGAGGGCCCCCGGCAGTCATGCAATACCCTATGGCCTATATTTGTCAGTTTAGTCACTCTGGAATTTAGATCGTATGTGACGGGGGTTAGGGGGGTCAGGGACTCGTCACTCAGGGAATCAACAATGATTATATATTTTTCTTTTTTAAAGGTTCCAAACTTTTCTTTTTCTTTCTAAATACATAATCAAATGTAATAAATATATTATTAGGATACCAGTAAGGAGCCTAAAGTCTTAAACTAAAGATTTGGGATTTCACAACCGCAGCCAGCAGCGTGTCATGATTATTCCACATAGATTCTGAGGGCGAGTCTAAAAAATCTCTAAACACGTAATAGAAAATTCATAATTATACAGGCAGAAGGAAAGTAGGAAACTATGACTATTCACATAATCACATTATGCCGGGCTGGCCCCTGTCATGATAAATTGAATAGAAAACATTCTGAGCCAATGAAGATATGAAGGCCCTTCGGTGCTTCTTGTAATTCCCATAAAAAACTAAAAAGGGGAAGTGAGGCTGTGCGCCCGAGTGCAGACACTACGGAGTGCACACTGCACATTGGGCCAACTTTTTTTGTGGGGGGGGAATCAGGAATTGGAAATAACGTTTTGTGTGCTGTTCAACGCGAGAGCCTCCTAAAATAATTGTGTTCAATTTTAGGAGGCTATGTCAAAATTCAATGCCTTCTTTAAAAATAATATACGTAAACGAAGGCTATGTGCTGATTCTACCCTTGTTGTATTCATAAAAATGGACATGTTCACCAGCAATATTTTGTATATATACAGTCTACAACTGGTACACGTCCTCACTCCTCCAAAGCTTGCAGGTTACGAACAAAATACACCAGAACAAAATGTCAATAAAAGAAGAAGACCGCACAAGTATGAACATGATGGATATACGCACATCCGCACCAATGCAACCAGTGATGATGGTCCCTAAACCACCGGCTAATGCTGGACCCATTGCTCTCATGGGCTTCGGTATGACTACTCTATTGCTGAACTTCTACAATACTGGTATCGCAGAATCAGGTACCATTGGACTCATCGCGTGCTACGGTATCTTTCATGGTGGGCTCGCCCAGCTTCTGGCTGGAATGTGGGAGGTATGCAAGTCTTTTAAAAGCACTGGGCGTTTATAGTACCCGTTGTACCCTCTTGTACATTAATGCTCGTAGTGGGGCATGAGCTCCCTAAATTCTCAAGTCTCATCTTCCTTCAACATAGATTGGGATGTGCTCTTCTTGGATTCTTTTTCTTCACTTCTGCGTTGAGCACAAGTCCCGTTTGATGAACTAAACACTATTTATCCTAAATTGTAACTTTTTCCTTCGTTCGAATCCTTACCATTCTTCTTATTTGTACTTCAGATGTCCGCCGGCAAGATATTCACTGGGACTGCTTTCACTTCATACGGCGTATTCTGGATGGGACTCGGTCTATTTGACGGGCTCATAGTAACAGGGAATTTACAGCCAGGAGACATCAGTGAAGGCAAGTGTATCTGGCTGTGCATCTGGGGTTGCGTAACCTTTTTGATGTTCCTGGTTACATTACGAGCCAATCGAGTTGTACAGTTTTTATTCCTGTCGGCGACTTTTTTGATCTTCGGGTTGGCGGGTGGCGTGTACAACGAAACAGTGCACAAGGTTGCAGGTGCGATAGGTATCGCCTGCGGAAGCTCAGCCATGTACCTTGGCTGGGCTGAGCTGATGAATGAGGTGTACGAGCGGGAGATTATCCCCCCTTTTCTAGGCTAAATAGGGGTAAGGATTAAATAAGTAGCAATTCAGAAGTAATCTCAATTCTCATATAAGGACGGCCTGTGGCTGCCGGCGACCGTGGGCGTGTATGCCTAATGAGCAAGAGTTCAATTTATACCGAAATAATAGTAATTTAAAATTAATCGGGAATTAAAAAATCAATAAATACCAGTAACGTACTTGTGACATGTGTAACTTGTAATTTCGTTCCTAACGTCCTACGGACGTTAGTCCGTTGTGGGATATTTTTTCCTCTCTCTACTAGAGTAGGTCATGACTTCGTTGTACTTTTCAGTGTTGAGATGACAATGGTATCTGCCTACTGCTTTCTCGGCTAAATACTCGCTGAAATTCCGACTAAAAAGAATATGGGGTTATTTGCACAATGCACAGACTCGTGTACTTTGTCTGCCCCTCTCGCTCTCTCTCTACTTACTAGTAGACAGCAGAGTCACAGAGGGCATATAGTACATGGGCGCCTACTGGAGAATAGACAATACAAGACTACAGAGGGTCAGAGTCCCCCTGAGTCCCCGACCCTCTACTACTTAGTCTACTAGTCTACACAAGAAGACATACTCTCTTTCTCTACTAGTCATGATGAGACTCCTTTTTACTTCGTTGTATATATTATTTTATGATTCTCTCATCTCACATCTGGATAGAGTCTCTCGTAAATGCAGAAAGTCTCGGGGAAATTGTTGTTTCCCGGAATCGTAAATTTTGTAGAGACTACATACAAATATAAACATGTATTTTAAAATTAAATTTAAATGTATGCAATATGGTCAATGGCGCTTCAATTGATTCCATGCCTAATATGAATATCCTTATATCCAGAGACTAGAGGGCCGCGGAATATGGATACTTTGAGATCTGCTCCTAGCTCTCTGTCTAGAGAGGAGCCTAAAGAGTTAAGGCTCACCCTCTCAGCCTCTCTACTACTACTACAATCTGGCTTGGTGTGAGGTGGCGACAGTGTCGCCGTGTTCAACAGGTAAACGACAGTCGGAGATTGTCGGAAACTGTCTTGTCGTTAACCTCTAGGTTCCGCCATGACTATTATAGAGGTCAATATATATAATTCATTGGCTTAAAGACAAATTAAATCTTTTCATTGGTTAAACCGACACTAGGTTAACCCTCCGGCCATCTGTCAACTGTCAAGTCGTTTCCCATTTATTTGTATAATGGGTCCCTGACTCCCTCCCCCTGGGCCTGGGGCCCTGGGGCGTGCCTGTCAGGCTGTCTGCACTTTGCAGTGTGTGCCGTCACTGCCGTGTGGCCTCTATTGCAATAAAATATAAATGTTGACAAAAAAATTTACAGAGTCAAAGAAGCAATAGCTCTGTAGAGGAGCATAGTGCATTGGCACAGCCACAAAGCAGCAAACTGCAAAGAGCGAGCAATCATATCTTGCTATACTTAGAACGCTTTCTATTGCGTCTCATCGTACAAATTTTTAAGACTGTAGAGCCAAAGAGGCCATGCCCGACTCAGAAGTCAGAACTCAGAAGTCAGGATAAATAACACAAAGCCTATAGGCTATAGATCATAGACGCCAAGGACATGAGGAAGGGTTTCTCTCTACTGGGGGGACACTCTACGTAGTGCACCCTGCATCGTGCATAGCCTTTGTTCAATTTTCAAGACTATGGTGCTAAATTTTATAGTCCTTACTGGCTTACTCCTTACAAACTTTGTTTTTGTTTTGAAAAAATCAATATTTTTTTCAATATTTTTAATTTTTATTCTTGTACAAGAATTTGTATTAGCCCTCTCAAAACGCCAAAAGAGTAAAGACATTACTCTTGTGATTTCCTCTCCCAAGCTCCTCGAAAACTGGAGATCCTATTTTATATATAAAATTCCAGATTCAGACCTGATTCCAGTATAGCCTTCGGCTTCCATCGAAGGCTATGTATGATTGTTTATAGAATTTTTATTTATTTTCAAAAACTCATTTTTGATTCCAGAGCATATAGAGGGCAGAGTCTCCGAATTAGTAGAGAGGTGCGAGCCGAACAGACATTGCTCTTATTTTAAAAACAGAGCAAGAGGATTCGAGGTGCACTATTTTTATTGCTTTATTCTTTTTGTTTTGTTTTGTTTTTGTATGGACTAAAGATAACAAACAAAAAAGCCTTTGTATTACATAGTAGGACCTTAGCCGGGTGTCCATCCGGTATGAGGATGGACAATGGATATTTGGCCCTGTCCCGAAGGAACAGGACCAGGCAGTGACATTAGGGATAGTTGTTTTAATGGAATAGTGGATGAGGAGGATATATTTTGAGTTGTGAGACATAGAGTTTTAGGTCTCTGGGAATATTAAATACGTATGTCGTTTGGTGCACTCGCGTATAGATAGGGTTCGAAATCACCTACTTTGAGCAAGTACATTAGCACCATCAACCACTGGTCCGATCGATGAGTTAGATAGCGGAAATTGCTTTAGAATGACCAGGACTTTTAAAAATCTCCTGAACAGATTTTGGATTTTGTGTCTCAAAAAAAGGTTGGCTTGCTCAAAATTTGGAATATATTGTTCGTTTTTCATGAGGGCAGAAATCGACGGGCCGCTTCATCAAGAAAGCCGACGCAAGTCTCAGACTCTCAGAATAAGTCCTCTATTTCATGTAGAAAAATAAGTTTTTTTCATGTCATTTTGGGGTCATTTCTCATGTATAGTGTGAAAACATATTACGTTTTTTAATCGTACCAACATTTGGAGGTATAAGCGTATACGTATTGGAGCCCGACACCTATGTCCCATTTTGGTCCGCACACGGGGTAGTGACATGTCAAAATGTGGCCGTTTTTTTACGACGGCAATGGCTTCTTAATAGGGTTCTCCCGATCTGTACATAATTTTTTACCCAATTTCAAATTATTTCGGGTAGAAATGCCAATTCTAAGAATCCATTTCGAGCATAGCAGTCATTTTTTTTTTTGAACCCAAAATAAAATTATAATATGTATGTACTGTCCTTGCATACATACATAAACACATATTTATTTATTTTAAATACTTTGTTTTGTTTCAAAACAAAAGACATTATAAGCCACTACCAAAAAATATATAAGTGGAAAAGTAGAATAGAAAACTTAAAATATTTATCGAGGCTTGAACAAACAAAAAAACCCAATTAATCGAGTGATTATTTCATAGCCGTCTATTGTCATTTATACTATTTTTTGTATTTTTTTTGTATAAACAACAACAACATCTACTGCCCTGGAGAGAGGCTGATATTTTAATAATTAAAATTGAACGCAAATGCCAATGTCTCCGTATAGTGTATTTACACATAACACGCCTAACTTAACTACCCACCACGCCGCGAAAGTTTCGAAAGAACACGGACTCGTATTTGACACGGTATTCAGCCATTTTAAGTTATACATACCTCGGGTTGACAGGCATAACTCCTGCCCTTGATGTAGCATATCTAATAACATGTATCGAAGGAAAACCAATGTTCACTGGGCGGCACCAATCAATAGCACGCGCTCGCCACTATGTGATGTGCATTGGATTCGCATCTGATTCCCATTATCAGCCCTATAAAGGAAATACATATCCACGTGTTTAGTATCATACAGTTCTCTGTTACTACTGTAATTACAATCAGAACTCCATTGAATATAGTGTGATATGCTTCATGTTCACAGTCTCAAAAAGTTGATCGGGTTCGCGATGTTGTTCAGTGCATCTGCCTCTGTAGCCGATTTAATATGGAGCGATGAATTTGACGGAGCTGCTATAGACCAAGGCAAGTGGGGTTATGACATCTTACCGGCATACAAATACAACAACGAGTTGCAAGAGTACACCTCGGCGTCAGCCAACTCGTTTGTAAAAGACGGCCTTCTGCATATAAGTGCCGTTCCTATGGGGATGGGAGGTATACCAGCGCCCGAATGGTGCCACGCAACAAAGGAGACTGGACGTATGATACTGTGAAAGTTAGAGCGTCTATTCCATTGGAAGAAGGTATGTTTTGATAAGTATGCGCTCACTATTCTCTGATATTAATCATTTTCTGTTTTTTTCCATCTTACAATAATAACGTGTGGTGAGGATAGTAAACTTTTATAGTTCAATTCTAATCACTAGAAACTGCTAACTCTGTACGTTTACCTTTCATTTTATGTTGCATGCGTAGTAACTATTTCACTGTTTGCGTTTAATCAGGGCTCTGGCCAGCCATATGGATGCTACCCACGGGCAGTCCTAACAAATGGCCGAAGGGTGGCGAGATTGACATACTGGAACACGTCACATGTGATGCTAATCGAGTGCACGCCACGGTACATACAGGCGCCTATAATTGGCCTATGAACAAGCAGGTGGGGTCATCTATAAGTGTCCACGATGTGCGAGATTTCCACGAATACGCTCTGGAATGGTCCCCTACTGCTGTGATAGTGTTGCTAGATGGAAACGAGTACTTCTCGTTCGACAATGACAACACGAAGGATCTTTTGACATGACCGTTTGACGAACCGTTTCACCTTATCCTGAATGTCGCAGTTGGTGGAAATTGGGGAGCGTATTGTCTGAATGGTAAGAAACCGAGCTTCCCCTCTAATGGCGAGGAGAGCACTGTGCTTGTAGACTACGTGCGCGTCTATGCGGGGGTCGATTCCTATTCAACGCCAGTGACAGGTAGTGACATTCCTTGTGACCAACCCCAACTCGACTATGCGTGTGAGTGGAAAATCAAATGGATGTTGGAGAATTGGGACAAGGTGGATTGGACTGATGCGTACGTAGCTCACGGCGTGGATGGCACACGATGCTCTATACAGCGTTATCTGTTCAATCGGGAGGGGTTCTGCACTGATCCTGATATGGATCTAGTGAGAAATCCCCCTTCGGCATCACCAGCAGCCTCGACAACACCTTCGGCAACCTCAGCATCATCCACTACACCCACGCCGTCTGCCAAGCCCACTCCGCTACCTACACTATCGTCTACCGCAATGCGGTTGCCTGGTAACCGTCAGTCATGTGTTGTGGATCCCAGCCTGTCCCTAGAGATCGCGTGTGGATCTGCCATTCAGATATGTGCGCGTGCAGATATTAATTGCGCGGTAACGCCCTCAGTAACCACGTGCAGCGTGGCATTGCTCAACGAGATCTTCTCACTCTACTACAGAGCAAACGCCTGCGCCGAGAGCGCATGCAATTCGGCTGGCTCCGCTATGTTGAACACATGCGTGGCTAAGACGGATGTGGTTATAGGGGACGTGTGTAACTCCTCATGGCGGGGGCTTGGAGTAGTGGGGGTGTTGACAGCTCGGATATTCCGGGCTGTACTACGCTGAATGCGAATAAGGCCTTCTCACGCTACCACAGAAAACATGGTTTTCATGAAAGAACCTGTGACTTTACTGGCAGTGCAACGTCTGACTAGATCATTTTTATGACACAGCTATACGAACATTTGTATTTTATGTCCGCCTGTGGGCTGGCAACATATGGGGGCGTGCGGTAGATATATATACAAGTAAGAGCCATTTTTATAGAATATAAAACGTATAGAGTTAAAGAGTACCACCCAGCCATCATTCGCATAGTGATCAAAAGGATAAAACGTCTAGAGTTGATATAGTATCACCCAGTCGTCGTTCACGTAGCTATGTATAGCTTTATGGAAACACCATATCATCATTCTGGGCATAGTTTTGTATGGGTTTTACCATTTTCGTAGCTATGTATAGATATATGGTAATACCATTCACGTAGCTCACCCAGTCGTCGTTCACGTAGCTCACCCAGTCGTCGTTCACGTAGCTATGTATATCTATATAGAAACACTAGATCATCATTCTGAGCATAGTTTCGTATAGGTAATACCATTTTCGTATATATGTATAGCTATATGGAAACACCAGATCTTTTTTCTGAGCATAGTTGTATATATAGGATAAATACCATTCACGCAGCTATGTATAGCTATATGGAAACACCAAATCATTATTCTGAGCATAGTTGTGTATAGGTTAAATACCATTCACGTAACTATGTATAGCTATATGGAAACACCAAATCACTATTATGAGCATAGTTGTGTATAGCTAATACCATTCACGTAGCTATGTATAGCTATAGGTTAAATACCATTCACGTAGCTATGTATAGCTATATGGAAACACCAAATCACTATTATGAGCATAGTTGTGTATAGCTAATACCATTCACGTAGCTATGTATAGCTATAGGTTAAATACCATTCACATAGCTATGTATAGCTATATGGAAACACCAATTCCATATTCTGAACATAATTGTGTATAGGTAATACCATTCACGTAGCTATGTATAGCTATATGGAAACACCAAGTCGTCATTCTGTGCATAGTTGTGTATAGCTACTACTTCGGTACACCACTTGCCCCACTTCTACTACACCGAAAGTTACTACGAGCAAACCAAGATAGACAAAGCGTCCCCATTGATTTCGCTGAGACGATGGTCAGTATTCTGAATAAGAACTTCATTTAAACTTTGTTTTATTTCGATAATATATCACTGAGTATTTCAGATAAACTAAGTTTACACCCATGTATCTAGCTTGCGATTTTTAATAACTTTATGCGGCTTCGGCTTCACCGGCTGCCTTTTTGGCGCCAACAGTGTTGGTCAATACTTCGGAAATTTCGGCCCAGCATTCCTCAGTGCACTGAGCGAACTTCTCAGCCTGGAACAGTGAAATGGTAGGTAAATAAATACGCTCCTGACATGTGCAGTGTGACTGGGGGAATGGTAGGTAGATAAATGGAAAGCCTGGATTAAAGTTCTAACATTTGCAATGTATTTGTTTATTTTCCTTCTTCATTGCCCGTACCGAACAGCCTGTCAGAAGAGGTCTTCCCAGTGATAGGAGCTCATACACAACTATATATATACCCGTACCGAACTGCCTGTCAGAAGAGGTCTTCCCAGTGATAGGAGCTTATACACAATTATATATATATATATATATAAGTACGAACAAGCGGTTGACACTCAGATAAACTATACCTTATTCTCGTAGTTGGTGATATGAAGTCCCATATAGCCGTCAATCAGACTGTAACCCACACCGAACCCATCAGCACAGACAGGGCCAAACCCACCGGCCTTAATCGCATCACTCTGTGGCGAATAGAGAGCATGTTATTTATGTAAAATGACTTGGTTGTGCTTAGATTAGAAGGTATCTGGAATATGTTTAGTGGCTTAGTAATGCTTGGATTAGACGATATTGGTCTATGTAAAGTGACTTAGTTGTCCTTATATTAGAACGTATATGTAAAGTGGGCTTGTGTTCAGCCCGGTGATTACGCATAGCAGGGATTATGAGAAGGTATGAGAGCATACCATTCGGAGTATGCACAATCCTATGACCGAGCGCAGAGGAAACACATCCCACATCCCACACACGCACACGCATATATATATATTTATATATATAATATACACATGAAAATATATATATATATGCATGTATACACATATATATGAACAGCACAGATACACACGTGTGCACCCGGGGCACTTACCGACAAGGTGGAGGTAGACAGAATGATGTGGTTCATATGGCTCCACACGCCGGCGTGTGTGAACAGCTCAGGCGTAACACCCAACTCGTCTTCAGAGAACTTCTTCAACATGTACATGTAACGATCGAATCCCTTGCCTGTCATATGAGAAGAGTCGAGGTGCATGTTGTGTTTTGAAGTTTAGGGTCTAGGGTTCGCACAAGTTGCGGTATAGGGTTTAGATTTTACACACATTAGGTCAGATATAGTGACTATATGGAATTGGTGTACATTTGCGCATGTAGCAATGGCATCTCTTCAGATTCACTCACCGAGCAAAAAAGGATGCACCAATTGACATCACAAGAGTGTCGCTATACACATCGCGAGTGTGAGTGTGGTGTTATATGTATAATATATATATATATATATTTAAATATGTATATATTTAAATATATAACTAAATATTTATATAAATCTATACAAATATAACTATATTTCTATACAAATACTACATATATATTTACTATATATATATATATATATAAACAAATATATATGTCTATATATGTATACATATATATACATATATATATTTATACATACATATACATTAATATATATAAACATACATACATATACATATATATATATATATATATATATATATTTGTACACATAAAAATATACATGTAAATACGTCGTTTAAGTACAAATATACGAACAGAATCTTTTGCCTGTCTGGTATGGTAGCGAATAATGTGGTACAAAGGAGATGATCCACTCTTTATATATAATACAATACATATGCATATGCAAATATATATATATACGTATATATGCTATATAAAGACGATAAGTCTCGCCAGCTATACATTTACGACAGTTCATATATATATATATATATATATATATATATATATATATATATATATACTACTATATATATATATAATAACTACTACTATATATATATATAATAATACTACTACTATATATACTATACTATAGTGTAGTAGTACGTAGTCGTCGTGTCGTACGTTACGTTTACGTTTACGTTACGTTTCCGTTCGTTCGTTC